CCCAACACAACTCAATTCCGCACAACACAATTCAACCAACTCAACACAACATAACCCAATACAATTCACATAACACATAACAAGATTCAACACAACCATTTCAACACAAAACTCATATCATCCATACCATTAGTAATTTCCTTCCCCCCAAGTTTAGTTCACATTATAACATAATTTAAGACATCAACATTATGAGTTCAATCGCAACTTTTACATAAATTTCTCAAATTCTTTAAAATTTCAATTAAACTTGTACATGTGTAATTTAACACCTTAATTTCATAATTCTACTATCAATTGAAGCAAAACCATTAACCATCTTCTTAAGCCAAACTAGGACTTTTAAGAGAAATTAAAGCTTTTCACAAAACACATTTTGTTCCAATCCTTCTGTTACTTTTATATCCAAACTCATGACCCAAGATCATAACCCAACAAATAAACCCAGCTCTCTTCAAACCTTAACCCCCAACCTCGTGATTCATCACAATATGTATAAAAATATAAATTTTTGTATTTGTATAAAGAAAATACCATAAATCTATCCATAAACGAGGGTATTGAAAGAAAACTAAAAACCCCTATCTCTTGAAGCCAAGAGATGACGACCCAAACATCAATGGCGATGAAACCACGAACTTTTCGGACCAAAATGATGCCCTTGACGAGATCTACACTTTTTTTCAAAGGACCATGGTGAGAAGATCACTCTAGGTGAGTAGATCTAGGGATCTTACTACCAAAAACTTGCGTTTAGAGAGAGAGAGAGAGAGGAGAACTCACGGTTTGAGAGAGAGGAAAGAGAAGAAAAAGTGAAATAAAATATGTTTGGAGCCTATTTATAGTAGTAAGGTAATAATAAAATAATAGTCCCAAAGTCAAATAAAAAGAACAAGTCAAAACTCCTAAAAAGTAGGGCCCAAACCAGTCCAAAAATCTGAAAAAAAAAACATGTAGGAGTCGACCCCTTGGGCAGGGGGGTCGACAATTTATGTAGAAAAGGCAATCTGGTACAAGCAAGGGGGTCGACCCTATTTTTCAGTAACTAACACAGAAATTCTGCAACATAAGAGGGTCAACCCTCTCCAAACTGGTGTCTATCCTATTTTGCAACAACACCTCCAGAAACTTCCCCAACAGGTAAGAGTCGACCTTTAAGAAAGTTGGTGTCTACCCTAAAGCAAAATTTCTAAGTTTCCAAAAAACTTTTAACAAGAACAAACGTGAACAAACAAACTTGACGAGTTTAAATCGAATTGTACTCCTTCAAAACCAATAGACAACAATTCCAAAGACTCCCAAGATAAAAATAAGGATATTAAACACACTCTCAAAAGGATTAAAGGATGCGGGCATTACAAACTCCCCACCTTAGGAAATTTCGTCCTCGAAATAGAAGAAGGCCAAACGAAAGGTAGCATGAACCCAATATTAAACACAACCTCCAACTTACAACTAGTTCCACACTTGGGATAGACTCCCAGATTCGCATTCAATATCGCGACGCCCAGAGGACACCCAAACAGAAAGCATTACAAGGAAGAGATCATGATCACTCTTTCAACCAACATACTCATCGGAGTCCAAGAGACAAGGAACAACATCAATTACTAGTACGTCCAAGGAAAATCAACAGCTCCTCAATCGGCAACAACGCGCACCACTACTCTCAGACAACCAATACCCAATTTGAAAAAAAAAAGAAAACTGCCATTAAACCAAAAGTTCGGCTGACATTAACAAAAGCCAATGGCACAATGATTTTATTATAGTGATAGTTTGCTTCATATAATGAATAGGACTTTAGTTTGTTACTCTGGGCTACCATAATGTTTTGGTAATTGATATTGTCACTTTTTTTTGTAAGCCTTGTTCAATCAGACAATTTTCCACGAGAATTGACATAGTGGACTCCAATTGTTTGGAAAAAAAAAAAGAAGCTCACGTTGAAATGACATGACTTCTTGTTCGTATTTAATTTTTCCGAGCAACATGTGACCCACTTCATGATTCAATGTCTTGTGGAGCTGAATCATGGAAACATGTAGATGTAATGTTTTTGTTTTTTGGGTTACGGCTTGAATCTTGTTTATAGTTTATTTTAATTTAAGAATCTATATTAGGTAGTTTAGTGTAATTTTTGTATATAGTTCATTAAGTAGAAATAATTTAAATAAATTGAAAAAAAATAATTATTTAAAAATTAGGAAGGGATAAATTTTAACTTTTAGTTTCTAATTATCAACTTTTTATTTATATTAAACTATATCAAAATTGGTCAATATGCTATTTGAATTTAACAGCTTTAACCAACTAAGATGACACCTGTACGTACGTATTATGCGAAATGAGAATAGGTAAGGATCTAAAAAGATAAATTAGTAGAAGGTACCATTTGGCAATGGCACATAATACTCTCCTAGCATATAATTTTTTTTCAAAAAGAGGACTTTTGAATAAGTAGAAAGTTTGACGGTTTGGGTGAAATTAATTATTTAACGTCTCTCAAAAGAAGCATCTCACCTGATATGTTAAATTAATTATTTTATTAATTTTACTTTAAATTTATTTACTTGAATATTTTTTAACACCTTTACATGTCCTTACTATTAAAATAAATAAAAAAAATAATAATTTGACATCATTTTTTCGCTATATCAAAATTGGCATTGTTCAATACATGGCAAATGTCATATCACTTTTGCAAGGTTGGGTGGAGCACAAATACATGTCAAATGCACTTGTCAAATTTACCACCTAAAGAACTGGCGACTCGGATGGAGATGCTCTACAACACTTCATTTTCAGAACAAGAGCAAATGGGTATCCCACCAGTTTTGAATGCAAGAACAATTAATTGCTTTTGGAGTCATACTTCACATTATTCATCTTTTAATATTAGTGTAATTATTTCTCAGAAGTAAAAATACAACACGATTTAAATTAATTAAAATATCACATGTAGAGCAAGATCACCCTATAATTTTCTATGGACCCATGGGAACTGTGATATGTACTATCATTACAGATGGATTGAAATAGCAATAAGATATTAATTTGATTATATTTTAATGATCAGTCAACATTAGAAATTAGGAATGGGGACCATCCTTAACCTACATGATGTGAAAACACATATACTTGATGGGTACAAGACCAACCTGCTTCATTAATTTCACAGTAACTGTCAATTATTGCACAATCTGCCCTTTCATACTCATCTCTTCATATTTGTGTATTAGCCAAGGAAACTTGCAATTTTCTTCATTTTGTGACCTCCTAAAGTGGTCATCATGTAATAATACGAGCAGCCGTGCTACCGACCCCAGCTGGGGGCACCCCCTAGTGGCAAGTGGCACACTGCTAGTGGCTGGAATTCAAAAAAAAAGAAAAAAAAAAAAAAAACTGTTTTTTGACCAATCACCAATGACCCCAGCACCTCCACTGGGGGTCTAAGTCATTTTTTTAATACGAGGACGGGCTCTTGTTTATCTCAAAATAATGTCCTTTTTATTTATTTATGCATCTCTCTCCTACATGTTTTTGGATGAAAAATCTATTATTGGATTGCTAAATTTTGTTAATAGTTATCTATGACCTCTCCACAATTACAATTAGTGTTATGTGATATATTTTCCCATTAATAATTAAAGGAGACACAATCTGTTTTCCCATTAATAATTAAAGGAGACAGGAAATGCACAATCTATTTTCCTTTCTTTTTGTTTTTTTGTTTGTTTGTTTTTTTTTTAAAACTAAATGCATATGCATGCAAGTATTTATTTGTATTTATCCATCCAACATTAAAGGATCTCCAGGAACTAGTCCAGTCCAGTTTAATTGGACTTTCCCGGGTCAGATTGCTCACTTGAATGAACCTGTTGAGTGTCAGTAACTGCCTTTGGGGGTGGTGTATTGTAGTTTTCAAATATACGGAATGAAAATATTTATATCTATATCTATATAAAATAATAAGAATGATATATAAAAAAATTCTCTGGATTTTTATAACTCAAAAATAATTTTATATTCTTAAAAACTCATAATTTAATTGAGCATTGATATTCAAGATTAAAAATTAGATTCAATTTTCAAGTTTAGTAATGTTTCAATCAAGTACGATATCTAAGAAATCTTCTTTCTCATATCTTTTTTAATCATTAACCAATCATATCACTTACACATTATTGCGTCTAAAAAGTGGACGTGTATATTATGTTTTTAATTTGGGAGTATTTTGGGAAGATAATAAAAACTGAATTTTTAGTTTTTTTAGATTTTTTCACTGTTTTATGTGAAAGTTGATGTGACAAAAAATAGGTTAAAAATCATATTTCCAAAATGGGCCTTAATTATACCAAACATTATTGGTCAGTTATCAAACCACAATTAGCGTCTCAAATCAAACCAAAATTAAATAAAATTAAAATTTGCCATAAATGTGCTAGGTTAAAACTAGAATATGAAAGAAGGTTTTTACAAAAAAAAAAAAAAAAAACTCAAAATAGATTTGTTTAGATCTCAAAATTAAGCATTTAAATTTTTTTTCAAGATATAATAAATTTCTTAAATCAGAAGTCTAAACAATCAAATTCATCTAAAGTCTAGTGCGAATTACTTGAATCTATTGAGTAATTTCAGATCGAATATGGATGTTACCAACCTCATCCATCAATTTTGAAAAATAATCAAACTTACCATTTTATCATTAGATAGTCAAATTACTGCATAAATATGTTGTTAATCACCACATCACTCATCCAATACTAAATTATTTTGAAGGGACTTTTACATTTTATCCTCTTTAAATCTCATTTTAATAAAAATTATCATTTTTCTTACAATTATATTATAAACTCAGAAAAAAAAAATATTCAAAATTTTACTCAGAATTCAAACATATTGAGGGAATTCATTTTATCTATGATCCACTATACACCGAATTTAAATTTATACCATACGCTTTGCTTTCATGGTAAGATTATGAGTATAACTTTTCTTCCTAGAACTATTTGTTTTTCTTATCACAAAAGAGAGGAAAGTATTTCCCATTAGAAGCCACCTTCTCATCCCTTCAAACCCAACTCCACAAGCTCCCCACCACCACACGCACACACACACTATATGAGACTCTACCATCTTCCCCTTAGTTTTATTTTTATTTACCCTTGATTTTACACAAATCAAATGAACCAAAGCTTTGAGCTTGTACTCTCTCATTACCACTGATTCAATTGTCATCACTGAAACAGGAAAAAATGGCAACGACAAAGAATAGTGTTGTACCTTCAAAAGCAACTTCAACTGCTACTTTTCCCTCCTCATGCATTATTATTAATATATAATGGGGACATGAACATGGTAAGCATTCTCCAATCACTGCCATGGTGGATCTTAATCAAGAGCAAACTGCATCACCCACTGGCGCTGACATGTCTGCCAAGAAGAAGGAACTTCTCTCCACTGCCATGAAGAGGACTAGTGAATGGTATGTAAATCTTGTGCGTGCGATTTACAATTCTTGTTCATTTGTTCTTCCTTGTTTCATGTCTCACCAATCATCGTTAAGTGTCTCTCAAGTGTTTCAATGTCATAGATTAGAAGATTGATTTTGAAAAGAACACAAGAAAATAAGAAAGAAACTGAAAAATTACTATGAATTTCAACAGGATTTTTTCACAGGAGATTCCGAGCGACGTCACTGTCCATATTGGTGCAGCTTCCTTTTCATTGCACAAGGTAAAATCTATACTCGGTTCTTCTCAATTCATTTTTTTGGAAAAACAGAGTTGTGTAACTAAGTTTAATCCATAATTCACAGTAAAAAATACTTTTTTTAAAGGCTAATTAGCCTTTTGTTGTTTTTATAATTCAATTCTCAAATCAAACTAACAACAGACAATCAGAATGTCAAATTGTTATTTTCTATAAAGTAGAGATGATTTTCTATGCATTCCCTGCCTTCAAATGCAGTTTCCATTAGTCTCCAAATGTGGATACATAAGAAAAATGGTAACCAAATCGAGCGATATCAATCTTTCCACCATTGATCTCCCACACATTCCGGGTGGTGCAGAAGCATTCGAACTTGCTGCGAAATTCTGCTACGGAATCAACTTCGAAATAAGTACAGAAAACATCGCCACGCTCCGATGCGTGGCAGAACATCTCGAGATGACAGAGGACTATGCAGTCAGTAACCTCGTGGGAAGAACCGAGGCCTACTTGAACGAAGTGGCCCTTAAAAGCCTCGCAGGCGCAATTTCCATTTTGCATAGCTCTGAAAACCTTTTTCCAACAGCAGAGGAAACAAAATTAGTGAGTCGGTGCATAGACGCGATCGCTTATATAACCTGCAGGGACAGCCAATTTTGTGCCGTAAACCGAGCAGAAAGTGGCACCGAGCACCTAAAATCAGTTGTCGATTGGTGGGCTGACAATTTAACAGTTCTGCGAATCGATATCTTCCATAGGGTTCTGATTGCAATGATGGCAAGAGGGTTTAAACAGTATGCGCTCGGTCCAATACTAATGTTGTATGCACAAAAATCACTTCGCGGATTGGTGAGGCCTAATCCCGATTTAACTACATGTTTCCAATTCAATTACATGGGTGACATGTGTATTATTCATTGGCAGGAAATGTTTGGCACGGGGAGGAAGAAAATTGAGCCGCGACAAGAACATGAAAAACGGGTTGTTTTGGAAACAATAGTTAGCCTTCTGCCGAGGGAGAATAATTCAATGTCGGTTAGCTTTCTGTCGATGCTGCTTCGGGCTGCCATCTACCTCGAGACAACGATTGCCTGCAGGCTTGACTTGGAGAAGAGAATGGGGAGGCAGCTAGGACAGGCTGTTCTTGATGATCTTTTGATCCCTTTGTTTACGTTTACTGAGGACACGCTTTTCGATGTGGATACGGTGCAGAGGATTATGATGAATTTCTTCGAATACGAAATGGAGGGGAATAGATTAGGTTACATTGCTGATGAGGATTTTGTGTCGCTTTCTCCGCCCTTGAGTGACATGGAAAGGGTTGGGAAGTTGATGGAAAACTATATTGCTGAAATAGCTTCTGATCGGAATTTAACCGTGTTGCGGTTTATTAGTCTTGCTGAACTCATACCGGAACAATCGAGGTTGACAGAGGATGGGACGTATAGAGCCATTGATATTTACTTGAAGGTGCACTCTCTAATTCCACTATCTGTTTTTCAAAAACACATTTTCATATGTGCATTTGCAATTATTTTTTATTTTTTTACTGATGTTTATTGGTTGCCTTCATAATCTTCTGTCATCATAGAAGAAAAACACCACTTTTGATTAATTTTTTTCTTGATGTTCTTGATTGGAAAATTGATTCTCTTTCTTCTCTCCTTACATAACTTTTATAAACATCCAATCTCTTCCACTGAACAAGTTCAACATCTTCTACTAGTTTAATGTCATGTAGCCCTCAATGTGTTTCCTTAGTTTCACTTTTTCAATAAACAAATTAAATTTCAATGAAAGGAGTGAACAATTTATACGGGTATCAAGTCTGAAATGGCTAGGTAAGACAAGGCCACTAGAGCTAAAGGCAAGCGAGGATGAAGAGATGGAAAAAAAAGAATCCTACCTGCCCCCTAGCTAAGTCAAGGAGCGAAGAAAGAAACAGTTAGTGCAGCCGTGGAATTTTGGGTAGTTTTTTTTTTGGGGGTATTTCACCGGTTACTAATCTAACATACATACAGTAGGCCTCGACCCAATTTTGCTTTTTTCAAATTTTTGTATATATATATTGAATTAATTCGGGATTTTAGGTTTTGATGGTCTTTTGGAGAATGAAACTCCTTTGCCCGTGGATGAAGACTTATATCTTTCTCCCCTGGACAAAAATTTATGGCCGAAACGAGTAAATTTTTGTATTTGTTCTGTTTTATTTTTCTCATTTTCGCCTTTCCCATAACATATCTAATCCACCTGTCCATTTATAATCATAGGCTCATCCCGCTTTGAGTGACATGGAAAGGAAGAAAGTCTGTAGCTTAATGGACTGCCAGAAGCTATCGCGAGAGGCCTGCGCTCACGCTGCTCAGAATGACCGCCTCCCAGTCCAAACTGTGGTTCAAGTGCTCTTCTACGAGCAACAGCGCCTTCGCGAGGCCATGGATAGTGGCAGCCTCACAAGTGGTCTAGAATCCCCTGCTCTTCCCCCCAAACTCAACTTGTACACCACCGATCATATTCGCCCATTGAAAAGAGAAAATCAGGAACTCAAATTCGAGCTAGTGAAAATGAAAATGAAATTGAAAGAAATGGAGAAGCCAACAGATAGTCCATCTCCGAGCGATTTGTCAGCTTCTGATAAGCCTTCCATGCCTCGAAAATCATTTATAGGCACGGTGTCTAGAAAACTGGGGCGTTTGTATCCATTTCTGCGTGGCGATGGATTTATTACTCCGAAGGGCCAGAGCAAACCTAGCAGAGATCGGCGGCATTCCATATCTTAATACACTTGTGAAGAGTGTATATATGACGTTTTTATTGCATTTGTTGTTTTAAGGTTTGAGAGAGGAGGGTGTTCTATGTTGTGTGCTTTGTTTCTGTTGTGATATTTTCCGTGATGATTATATGGTGTCAATAATTAATTATTCAGAATCACAAATCCGAACTGACCCGATCTAACGTGGATGTGATTATATTATAGGATTATTGAATGTGATATCATGTGATTGGTGTACTTTTGTTCGATTAGAATGAGATAAAGAAAAGTACAAGATTTTGGAGATTGTCCCATGAAACAATAACGTATTATAGGTATTGGTATTACACTTCAAAAATACATATAAATGAAAGTATGAAAATCAAATCGCATCTATAATCAGATAAAGCCAAATTGATATGAATCTGATTTGATTATTCACTAATGGATTCAGATTGTCAGATTCAGATTAAATCCAATCATTCTTTTTTCTTTTTTTTTTTGTTGATGACCGAGAACACGGAGCCCTTTGGACCCACCCCAGGAGTAGCAAACTCGGGTTGCCAATGGCAAAGTCCACAATCAGGGGCACCATTTGAAGAGAGGAGATTCGAAACCCGGTTGGAAGTGTGGGTAGCACACCCACCAACCAACTAAGCTGGCCCCTCATGGGCTTTAAATCCAATCCGATGACAGGCTTAGTTGGGGCACTGGATTCTCAGTTCCCAAAATTCTTGCCCCTGCCATACTGATGACAATGTATTGGGACAAGGGAATAAAGATTTTGGAGACAGAAATCATTAGGCCAAATTGTGAAGAAAACAGGATCCGGGGGCCTAAGTTGAGTTAATTATTCACTTTGGTCTGATATTAGATTGAGTTTCAACTTACAGTAAAACTGGAAGTTTTCTCAAGCTAAAAATTGACCCAGGTTTTGTATCCTTATAATTTTTGTTGTTGTTTTTCATGTACTTACAAACAAAAGAAAAAAAACAATGAAGACTTCATGAAACGCCCGTCATTTTCATTTTCTTTGCGTTGCGAAAAAAAGGGGTGTTTTCTGAAAACTTTCTTGGAAACAGTTGTTTTGCCAAACAAGTTTTTGTTATATCAGTTTCTGTTTTCATAAAATAGAAAACTGAAAGCGAAAACAATACCAGACACGTTGCTTTTGGAAACAGAAAGTGCAGTAGTAGCTGAAAGCACTGTGTGGGGTCAGTGATTGAATTATTGAATTTTTTTTTGGATAGAAAAACTTTATTAAAAAGCAAGAACAACCCAAACCAGACAGGCTAGCAGAGAAACATGTATGATGGTCTGATTTCAATCATCATATAACTCAAAAGAGGATGCTTTCAGACCATTGTGTTTTTTATTTTACAGACGGGGAAATGAAAAAATGAGAAAACTGTATAGCGCAACATTAAAACTCAAACTCGAGCATTACATCAGTTAAGAGAGCACTTGATTCAGTAAGTCAACCTCTTTGATAAGGAATTATATTGTTTATTTGGAATGGGAATCTTGTGTTTATTTGGTGGCAGACACAAACATAAGCTCTTCTGCATACTGTTGGTGAGGAAAAGTTTATTTAATTTTTTTTTTTTTACCCTTTTAAGTGGTGGGTTGAAATTGAAAATGAAGAACATATAAAATACCTAGGGTTGATTCACCATTATATATAAACAATTTATGTAGAGATTCCTCTCACCTACCTTGATGTTTAATGGCTTATTTGATTCATTATATTAATAATCTAACACAAAATTTCTGTAGTTTTTCTATGGTTCCGTTGCTAACACGGGTTGATCTCGGTTTACTAGTAAGAATGAAAATTGTTTGTGTATTTACTTGTTCACAATTCATAGTCAATTCACTACTTGATTTATACATAACCGATGCAGTTGGTTCGAAGCTACAATAAATTAGCTCCTTTTTGTGGGTGACAATTTTTTTAAATTTAAGACCGTATCACCCAATCCTCGATACATCTCGCTCCGCACTTCCAATACTAACAGTTCGTTACACCAAAATCAATACTGATTCGTCACCAGATATCGCTATTTTGAAAGTGATTTGCAGATATAATGGGTCTCCAAAAGTCAGGGAAACAAATAATTTTCACACAAGACTCCATCACCCATTAAAGTCCAAAAAAAACAAAAAATCTCCACACAAACATCAATCACAGAATTAGTGAATCAGAAGCAATCTAAAATCCTTTATCATACCAACTCCATAGATTTTTTTTTTCAAGTCATGTTCTGAATTTCATGCTCCGAGGTTGGAAAAGCCAAGGAGGCAGTGTTAATCTATCTTGATTCAACTGTTCTTCCACATCGAAACTATTTCTTCTTCCACTTTGCAAACCCGAATTCGAATCAGGCACCATTGTTAGCCCCAATTTGTGACCTGTCAAATGACCATCTCTAGTTGTATGATTTGTTCCTGAATTTGTCCTCTTCATATGGCTAGATCCAGTAGAAGAAGAAGAAAAGCTCGGTCCAGAATCTGAAGTTCGCGGTGTCTCTCCTTTCTTCTTTCTCCGGTAGTAGCTCGTGGGGCCTAATGTCAGCTGAATTTCGCTCTCATCTTCAATCTCTTGCGCTATTTCTCCGTTTGTTTCTGCAATGTACTCATCATTGACAGGCTGCTCCAAGTCAAGCCCAGGCCGGGACTTATGGTGGATATGATGATGAATCTGATGATCATTCATGTGAGTTAGACTAATTCCGCGCATAAAATTCCATCTTTCTTGGTTCTCTCCATTTGGCCTACCATGTTCAACGTTTGTCATCAATATCTTTTGAATCCGGTAGAGACGATGGAGTTCATACACCTGCAATAAAATCATCAATTTTAGAACCGTTACTTTATTTTCAAGCACAAGTGTGTGACCAGTGCGTAACAATCCTTTTTGAGCATGACCTTAGAACCATACTACCAGGATGCATGATTTTAAATTGGCCAATATTGACCATATTAGCCAAAATATCAGTAACTATCGGTATAGAAAATTTAAAATCCCGATACATATCAGTATTAGCCAATAGTGCACATATACGTTGGTAAATCAGTAAATTTAGTCTCCCAAAACAACATACAAGAATTTTGCCTAGAATTTTGATATGTGACTGAGATTGAATTGGTATGTATTGGGATCCGTGCATAGATGAATCTCCATCACACATTGATGTTTGTGGGTCAAATTACGGTCGGAAAATATGAGAATATAGGTAGGTTTACCTGTTGTTTGAAGGTTTTTTCATGCTTCAACATAGCCATCTTCATGTATTCCTTATCATATGGATTCAAAAGCTTCTCCATTTGAACTTAATATATATATATATATCACTTTCTCAACTCTTCTACAAGATGAATCTCTGAAGTAGAAGAAGACAGCACTGATAATAATGAAAAGTAGAATTTTGTTTTCAGATCGGTAGTCGCATGTCCACTCTGATGATGATGTGTTACCTTCTAGCTTGTATGCCTGTGAAATGTGGAAACATCACAAAAATTAGAAGAATTATACTAAGAAGAATCTTATAAATGACACTGTTATAGAACATGACTATGATATAATGCATCAGCAACTACTTTTTAGTATATAATAATTCGTTGATTTGCTTATTTGTTTTTCACATATTTTTGTCGTCATAAGTTATAGGCCACACGAATTGATACTCATACAAATATCTCCTAACAAGGCATGCTGTCATTTTCTTCACAACAATAATGCCTTAACACTGTACCCATTTAAGGGGAAAAAATTTAGTTAAAAAAAAGAAAAGAAAGACGGGATGTCAAAAAAAAGCTAATAGCAAGTCTTATCGTTGGGTTGAACTATCTTAATTACTATTTGTATATTTGTTTTGTAATGCTTAAATTTTTATCTTCCCATCCAATTTTCAATGTATATATTGCTATATGCATGTACTTTTGTATGGTCGATGCTAGTTAGTTCCTGTTGAAGATAGGTAAAAAAATTATCACACAATCGGATACAAAATATATATAGATAATTTGGTGACACCACCAATTTTGTAAGAACTTGTCAATTTATATGTATTATGGGTTTAAATTAGTGTCTAATTTCTGTGTCAGTTGAAATTTTGTTTTCATTGTAAACATTCAACAGTAATTGGTGGTCTTTACAAAACTTTGCTTTTAGGGTTCTTGAAAGAATCACAGAAGTTAGCAAGATCAGAAAAAGAAAGTTTTTTTTTTTAAAAAAAAGAAAAGAATAAAAAAACAAGACTTTCTAAATTCTTTACCATCATCATCATGAGATATATATATGCAAAAGATGGGGAAGCAAGATAGATGGGAATGGATCTACACTGACCTGTACGATCGCCTGAATTCAGGAGAGATCACGACTTGAACTTGATGTTTTTCTCAAGAAAATGAAAGAGACTTTCCGGGAAAAGTTACCACAGCACTTTGCTTGAATGTCCTCCAAGTTGAGCCACAGCTTTGTTTTTGATAGAGAGAGAGAGAGAGAGGACAGAGAACTCCCTCCTCACATTCCCATGATCAGTAGTTCAGTACTATATACTGCAAAAAGAAAGAATAAAATAAAACTAAAGAAGAATTTAAGATTCCCTTATTTTTTTTTCTATTTTCATTTTTGGGGACACAGAAACCAAAGAGATGTTGCATTTGGGGGGTTTGTGGCATGGCATACAAATCCCAGTGCCTTTAGCCAATATGATTCAAGTTTCGTGAAAGAGATGCCTCAGACAGGTCCAGCAGTGCACAATATATTATATTTCATTTAATAATGCTCTTAACAATCTCATACATATAAATATATATATAGATATAGATATAAATGTGTGTGTTGTCTATGTTAATATTGTGGATCACGATTACACAAATCCAGACAATCATCAAAACAACAGCTTGGCCTGCTAAAGTGAATCACATGCACCCAAGAATTCTATATACCCACAACAGTTGTCTCAATAAGAGTGTTGGTTTGAGGTTTTTTGAGCTAATTTATAGTTTCTAGTTTTTGAAAAGTTGTTTTAACTGTTGGTTAAACTTATTTTAAATAGTTTTTTATTTTAATAATTTATTTTAACTTAAAAAAATTAATTCTAAGAAGTTGTTCATCCATTGCTTTCTGATTATCAGTTTCTGCTGTGAACATGTTAGTTTACGGTTATATTCTTAAATTTTTTTTATTTTTATTTTTTTTAAATAAAAAAAGACTTAAATGGATTATAAATTATTATTATTATTTTTTATGAGAAATATAGACAAGTAGTGAATAATAAAAAATAAAAGTTAATTCAAAAAACTACTTCACAACTTATTTAACAAACACTACTCAACAACTCAAATTTATAATCCAACAGTTACACTAAACAGATTAACAATTTCTGATTAAATTCATAATCTATAATCTGTTAAATTATAATTTATAATCTGTTTTAACAGTTACACCAAACGAAACCATAATCTATGGTCATCCAAAAAAGACGGAAAAAAAAAAAGTATATTAAATTTAGGAATCAAAATTTATTTGAAATGTGGCTTTACATCATATACTATTATTTTTGGACTTCTCAATGGTATAATTTAAAAGTTAAAGGTTGTAAAATGATATGTCCATCTTATATAATTATAACATTCAAATTTTTATTTTTATTTTTTTTTCATCTGATATGAGACTTTATTTTCACACACTTACAAATTCCAAAGTCAAAAAGCCCTTCCCAAACCAGGCTAAAATAGCCCAGGCTAAAATAGCCAAAAAGCCAAAAAGCCAAAAAGCCAACCCACTTCCCAAACGGAGGCACTATTATTTTTGGACTTCTCAATGGTATAATTTAAAAGTTAAAGGTTGTAAAATGGTATGTCCATCTTATATAATTATAACATTCAAATTTTTATTTTTATTTTTTTTTCATCTGATATGAGACTTTATTTTCACACACTTACAAATAACTTACACTGTTTTTGTAATGAATAAGCCTATGAACTCAGACTTATCTATCTCGACTTTATCCCAAAGGAGGATGTGTGGTTGAAATTGAATTTGTATAGTGTAAAATGTTAGTAAATTGACAATTTCTAGCCAAAATCGGTGAGACACAAAATAACAAACAAAAAAGAAATTAACGAATCAAACAAATCACACACACAAGAACACAAGAATTTACGTGGTTCACCCTAAAGTAGGGTTACATCCACGGCTGCTGCGGTTTTCAGTATGATCAGAAAAATATAACTCTCTCTTAACCTAAAAGAGGCGCCCCCTCATCTACTTATAAATATAGAATTACGGTTATGCGGAAGCACATGGAATTACAAAAGTACCCAAACCCCCATTAGACCCAGTGTTTTTGAGTTAACAGTAGAGTTGAGTGAACAGTACCTATTAAGGTCCACCAACCCAACAATCTCCCACTTGGAACCTGATAACACGAGCTTTCCATTATCTTCATCTCATAGAGAAACACTGCAATAACTCGATCTTCCTTCATCAATCTTGAAAGCTAACTGAAGTTGCACACAACTTCAGTTTGTCAATGGTGACTATCTTGGTCAACATATATGCTGGATTCTTACTGCCTTGGATCTTCTCAAGAGACAAGACTCCATCATCTACAAGTGAGCGAATGAAATGGTATCGCAACTGAATGTGTTTCGTCTTAGAATGAAAAACCTGATTCTTTGCAAGATGAATAACACTTTGACTGTCACTATACAAAATACTCATCTCTTGCATCTTACCCAACTCTGTTAGGAAATTCTATAACCAAGTCATCTTCTTCCCAGCATCAGTAATAGCAACATACTTAGCCTCTGTTGTCGAAAGGGCCACAATCTTTTGTAACTGTGAAATCTAACTCACTGATGTACCACTCAATGTGTAAATATAACCAATAGCACTTTTTCTGTTATCCATATCACCAGCCAAGTCTGCATCAACATAACCATGTAACCCGATACCAGTTCGTCGGAAACAAAGTGTCATGTCTGTAGTACCACTCAAGTATCTAAGGATCCACTTCATTGCCTCTCAATGTTGCTTGCCTGGATTACTCATGTACCTACGAACCACTCCCACTGCATGTGCAATGTCTGGTCTAGTATAAACCATAACATACATTATTCTACTGATAGCTGAAGCATATGGAACACATTCCATGTAAGCCTGTTCTTCTTCGGTCTTTGGAGATTGCTCTTTGGTAAGTCTAAAATGGCTAGCCAATGGAGTGCTCACTGGTTTTGCACCATCTATGCTAAACCTCTTGAGAACTTTCTTGACATACTTAGCCTATGACAACTTCAAAGTACCATTTGCCTTGTCCTTGTGAATTCTCATACCAAGAATTTTGTTTGCAACTCCAAGATCCTTCATCTCAAATTGGTTGGACAAAAGTTTATTCAATCTTTTTACCTCTTCAATGCTAGATCTTGTGATAAGCATATCATCAACATATAAGAGTAAAATAATATAACTTTTGTCAAACCTCTTGAAATAACAACAATGATCTGCTTGACATCTTGTAAAACCGTTACTACACATAAACCCATCAAACTTCTTGTACCACTGCCTTGGGGCTTATTTCAAACCATATAAGCTTTTTCGAAATTTGCATACAAACTCCTCTTCACCACGTGCCAAGAAACCTTGTAGTTGTTTTATGTAAATTTCTTCCTCTAAATCACCATAGAGAAAAGCCATCTTTATATCCATCTACTCAAGATACAAATCTTCAACAACCACAATTCCCAACACCAATCTAATAGTGGTCGACTTCAATGTAGTCAACACCAATCTGATAGTGGAGACACTACAAGAAAAAATATTTTTGGCGACCAACTATATTTTTTGGTCGCAAATAGTCCACTTTTTGTGACCAAAATTTAACTTTTGGCGACCACAATTTTTTGGTCGCGGAAAATCACCTTTTGGCGACCAAAAAAAAAAAGTTGGTAGCGAAAAGTATACCTATTGGCGACCAAAGGCTTTTTTGGTCGCGGAAGATCACCTTTTGGTGACAAAAAAAAAAGTTGGTCACAGAAAGTATACCCTTTGGGGACCAAAAAAAAAAGTTGGTCGCGGAAAGTATACTATTGGCGACCAAAGGCTTTTTTGGTCGCAGAAGATTACCCTTTGGAGACCAAAAAAAAAAGTTGGTCGCGGAAAGTATACTATTGGTGACCAAAGACTTTTTTGGTCGCAGAAGATCACCTTTTGGCGACCAAAAAAAAAAGGTTGGTCGCAGAAAGTATACTATTGGCGACCAAAAAAAAAAGTTGGTCGCAGAAAGTTATGGCGGGATAAATTTTTAAAAAAATGATACTACTGTAATTACATGCTATTTTTCTGTTTAGGCATTAAAAGTTTTATAAAATAATATATAACCAAATTTTATGGGTTATATATATTTTTTGCCAAATATGAACAAGAAGCATATTATTGGCAGAGTGGATTTGGTGCATGGTGACTTCTTGGTCAGGAGTTCAAGTCTCAGGCAGCACAAAAAAATTATTTTTTTTGGGTCAAGGCGCTTACTTTTGGTTACCAACTTATCTTTGGTCGCTAAAAGTTTACTTTTGGCTAATATGAATTGGACTTTTCGCGACCAAAAAAGTTGGTCGCGAATGGTCACTTTTAGCGACCAAAGGCTTTTTTGGTCGCAGAAAACTATCTGTGACGAGGCTTTAGCGACCAACTCGCGACCAACACATTTTGGTCGCGAAAAGGTTTTAGCGACCAAATATAGTACTTTTCGCGACCAAAATGTTGGTCACGGAAAGTGTTTTTTCTTGTAGTGAGAGAAAATTTCAATGTAGTCAACCCCTTCCTTTTGCTGAAATCCCTTTGCAACCAATTTGGCCTTGTAGCGTTTACTCCCATCATGTTCCTGTTTGACCCTGTAAACCCACTTGTTGTGCAAAGCTTTCTTACCCACTGGTAATTTAGTTAACTCCCATGTTTGGTTTGCCATGAGTGAATCCATTTCATCTTGCGTAGCAGACTTCCACATAATTGAATCATCAACCTACAAAGCCTCATCATAACTTTCGGGTTCACCCCCATCCGACAACAACAAATAATGTAAAGATAGAGACCAACGCTGTGTAGGTTTAGACTCTCTTTCTGACCGTCTCAACTTAGGAGTAGGAGTATGTGGTTCAGTTTGTGGAATAAGATTTTCAGTATTATTCTGAATCCTACTATTCAAATCATTCTCACTAATCTCCTTTAACTCAACATGCTCATGACAAGTAATAGATTCAGATTCAAATTCAGATGAAGACCTATCCCTATCCTTATACATTACTTTCTCATTAAATATGACATCTTTACTTCTGATTATTTTTCGATTTTTATCATCCCAAAACCGATAACCAAATTGATCAATGTCATACCCAATAAAAGTACATTTAACAGATTTCGAATCAAGTTTACTTCTATCAGCAGAATCTACATGCACATATGAAACACAGCCAAATATCTTCAAAAAAAGAAAAATTTATCTCTTTACCACTCCAAGCTTCTTCTGGTAGCTCTCCATCCAATGGAACAGATGGACCACGGTTAATCAGATATGCTGCAGTGTTAACTGCATATGCCCAAAACATCTTTGGTAATTCGACATGTATCCTCATACTTCTAGCACGTTCATTCAGAGTTCTATTTATGCGTTCTGCAACGCCATTCTGTTGAGGTGTCTTTCGAACAGTCTTCTCCATTCTAATTCCACTTTCTGTACAATATTTCTTGAACTCATTGTCCTCATATTGCCCTCCATTATCTGATCTCAAGCACTTAATTTTCAAACATGTTTCAACCTCCACCAAGACTTTCCACTTCTTAAAAGTAGTATAAACTTCAGATTTATGTTTTAGAAAATAAATTCATACCTTTCTCGTTGAGTCGTTGATAAAGGTAAC